ACTGAGATTAAAGAAATACAAATCAATTTTTCTTTTATTTCTTTTACTGCAAATTTTTCCACAAACACCCGTTGGGAGGTAGCCAGGTTATTCTTAAGAATTTTTTGAGTGATATTCTTCAGAAACTTCCTGTTGATGGTAGGGAAACAGTTTAGACTCGTGTACCTATTGGAGTAGTATAGTCTCTTTTTTGTTGGTAGAGATGAACCCGCTAATGGAGAGGAAGAATTTTATATTCTATCTCCTGGTCTCTTTTTTGTTGGTAGAGATGAACCCGATGATGGAGATGAAGAATTTTATATTCTATCTCCTGGTCTCTTTTTTGTTGGTAGAGATGAACCCAATGGTGGAGAGGAAGAATTTTATATTCTATCTCCTGGTCTCTTTTTTGTTGGTAGAGATGAACCCGATGATGGAGAGGAAGAATTTTATATTCTATCCTCTGGTCTCTTTTTTGTTGCTAGAGATGAACCCAATGATGGAGAGGAAGAATTTTATATTCTATCTCCAGGTGCAAAGGAAACTCAAAGTGGGATCTCCACTTAGCAGAATCTGGACATGTTTGAATAATTCCTGAACTGTTCATAAAGGTTATGATTTATTCAACTCAAAGTGGACCTCTCGTTCCATAAGAAGGAATCGAAAGGGGATTTTGGTTTTGGTTCGCTAACTGTAGTAAGGTTTGACCAAGTAGGGAGTTCTGAGACCGATCCTACTGTTTAAAGGTTTGATCGTTCATTTTGTGACCTTTCGTTCATAGAGGATCGAAAAGGCGGATTTTGTTTGGGTCCTAACTATAGTAAGGTTGACAAGTGGAGTTCTGAGACGCATCCTAACTGTTTTAAAGTTTTGAATGCGTTCAATTTGGACCTTTCGTTCATGGAAGGATCGAAAAGGGGATTTGGTTGTTGTCCTAACTGTAGTAAGGTTTGACCAAATGGAGTTCTGAAGACGATCCTAACGGTTTAAAGGTTTGATCGTTCAATTTTGGACCCTCGTCTCATGGAACGAATCAGAGAGGGGATTTTTGGCTTTGGTCCTATACGTTTAAAGGTTTGACCAACATGGGGATTTGAGACGATCCTACGTTTAAACGGTTTTGATCGTGTCAATTTGTGACCTCTCGTTATGGAATGAATCGAGAGGGATTTTGCTTTGGTCCTAACCTGTTTAAAAAGTTCCAACATGGGTGATTTGAGACGATCCACTGTTGTAAAGGTTTGATCGTTCAATTGTTGGACCTCTGTTCATGGAACGAATCGAGAGGCGGATTTTGGCCATGGTTCCTAACAACTTGTTAAAGGTTTGCACCAAAGCGGGGTTTGAGTGGAGATTTGATCAACGAAGTGATCGAACTCATCTCAGCAAAAGAATATTCGCGAAATCACCGTGGGGATGTAGTGTTTAAAGTACTTATTTGTAATGATCGGGTTATTCCTAAGAAAATTACATATAGCATTCTTTCGGGAACTTCCGTTACATGAACCATCCACCCCCAACTTTTTCTTGCAAACTGAGTTTATCACTATGTTTAGCTATATGATCGGGTTATCCCTAAAAGTACCATGCATGGCATTCTCCAGGAACTTCCCGTGAAAGAAAGGAAATAGTTTAGACTCATATACCTGTTGGAGTATTAAGGAGCCGTTTATACTCGTATACTTTTCGGAGTAAGATGGAGAAGCAGTTTATACTCGTATACTCATCGGAGTAATATGATCGTCTTTACTCGACCTCTTTCGCCGTTATGACGCCGGAGTCAATTAATGCTTGGATCTTATTTTTGAGTCCAAAGCAAATATTGGTGGGATGAAGAACCCTTCTGTGGTATGCACAGTAGTTTGGATCTGTAATCATCTTAGCACCCTCCTGATCTTTAATAAGCGGTAGCTCGATTTTGTCATTGGCGAGGAGGTATTCCAATATAGCTGGAGCTTCATCATCTTCAAAAGAATACTCTTTTTGAAACCTCGGATCGAAAGTTGCATTCCCAGCAATTGTGGACGTCGTTGGTTGACTTCTCTCAGCTTTCTTTCTTTTAAGAAAGTGTTCAGCTTGTTCGCCGCGCATTTTCAAATCTTTCCAAGTTTTGGATGGTACGACCCCCAGGGCTTCCAGGACATCGATAGAGAGATTATTGTGGCATGTTTGCAGGATGAACTCCTCTGTAACAGGATCTCTGCAATTCATTGCCTTGTCACGGAAGCGCTTGACAAAATTGTCGACTGACTCCCTGTCTTTTTGCTTCTCATCCAGAAGGGTTCCGATTGACACTTCGGTGTCATCATCGAAGAAATTACTGAGGAACAAACTTTCCATGTTACCCCAGCAATTGATGCTCCCTGGCTTGAGACGTCGGTACCAATCGAAGGCGG